ACCAAAGGCAGTTTTGAAGTTTCGTTTGGTTTGGGTTTTACTAGTTTCTTATTTTTTTTTTTTTTTTGGAACATGATAAAAGTGTGGGCCAACTTTTGATGAATGTTAAGTAGAGAAAGGCATAAATTAAGGCTAAGAAGATAAGAAAAGAAATCCAGTTTCTTTTTTTTTTTTTTCAGTCATCACATTTTAAAATCCTAAACTGCTTTTTGGGACTGTTTAATAGTGAGAAGAGATTGTGTCCAAAAGAAGTCCAGAAAGAGAACCGCGTGAGGGCCAGATAGTACAGTGGGTGGGGAGCTTGCCTTGCACACGGCTGTCTTGGGTTCAATCCCCAGCACTGCATGCAGCTCCCTCCCCCCCTTCCCCCACGGTGAGCACAGAGCTGGGAGTAAGCCCTGAGCACAGCCAGCTGTGGCCCAAAAAGTTTCAAAAAGAGCAGCACTCTTTACAGTAGCCAGAATCTGGAGAAAACTTGAGTGCCTGAGAACAGATGACTGGTTAAAGAAACTTTGGTACATCTACACAATGGAGTATTTACTATGTAGCTGTTAGAAAAGTCATGAAATTTACATACAAGTGGTACTACATGGAGAGTATCATGCTAAGCGAAATGAGTCACAAAGAGAGGGATAGACATAGAAAGATTGCATTCTTCTGGGGAACATAAAGTAACAAAACAGGAGACTTTAACACCCAAGAATAGCCGAGATTAGTACCAGGTGGTTTACTCCATGGCTTGGAAGCCAGCCACACATGCTAGGGGAAAAGGCAGCTCAGATAGAGAAGGGAGCACCAAGTAAAGGGTGTTGGGAGGATCCTCCCAGGATGGGAGAAGCATGCTGAAAGTAGACTATAGACCGAACATGATTGCCACTCAATGCCTCTCTTGCAAACCACAGAACCCAAAAGGAGAGAGAGAACAAAAGGGAATGCCCTGCCACAGAGGCAGGGTGGGATGGGGGGATGGGGGGGTGGAAGGGATACTGGGGTCTGTGGTGGTGGAAAATGGGCACTGGTGGAGGGATGGGTATTTGATCATTGTATAATTGAAACCAAAGCACAACAATTTTTAAGCCTACAACTGTACCTCATGGTGTTTCACTAATAAAAAGATTTTTTTAAAGTTTCAAAAAGGGGGCTGGAGCGATAGCACAGCGGGTAGGGCGTTTGCCTTGCATGCGGCCGACCCGAGTTCGATTCGCAGCATCCCATATGGTCCCATGAGCACCGCCAGGAGTGATTCCTGAGTGCAGAGCCAGGAGTAACCCCTGTGCATTGCTGGGTGTGACCCAAAAAGAAAAAGAAAAAGTCTCAAAAAGAATATAACAAAGAGCGAGATGTGGGATCACAAAACTTTCTACCAGCGTGCGTTTCCTACCTGTCCGTGATCTTTCTCCCCTCACTCTCCCTTCCTTCATGCCCACCTCGCCTCTCTCTGCTTGGCTCTCTCTCCTTTCCTTGTGATTTCCCTCCTGTACCAAGACCTTCAGTGCCAGGGCAACAGAGATAATGTCCCAGTTTTCCAGCTGGGCAGTGCACCAAGAACAAACCCAGACATCAAGACCAGACCCCCCCGCCAAAAAATTCTTGTTTTAGACAGAAGACTCCTACATCTGGGGGATTTAATGCACCCACTGTCCACCCCGGGCATTTCCTGTGTCCGGAGCTTCTCTGCCTGCCGGCGGCTCTGGGCTTGTAAGTTTCCATGCCCTGCTGCCAACTTCTAATGACAGAGGCTGCCACCGCCGGGCAGGGGCGCCAGCGCCCACTCGCTAACGGGGGCGCTGGCTTTGCAAACTGAAACAAAGCTTGGAAGGTCTCATTGCCGGCCTTTCCACCCCAACAGTAGTTGTGCCCAGACCACCAGGAGCCAGGAATTAAATCCCCTCAGATCCAGTTCTCTCCCATTAATGTTATCAGCTCCATCAAGTACTTCCTCTTGGAGTGGTGTCTGCGGAGAAATAAATAAATCAAGCCTCCTCCATGGCCAGGTCCTGCCCGGATCCTGAGTCAAAAGTTGGATTATCCAGAGCCCCGGCTCCCTCTGTCATTGTTCCCAAAGAGCTGGGCAGGAACAGAGAGTGAAATCTCCCCAGGACATTACATCAGTTCCTCTTTTACCCTTGGCAAGAAAGTGCTTCCCCTCCTGGTCCTCCCAGACTTCCTAAAGCCCTGAGCACACACCCGTGCACCCAGGCTTTAAGTTCAGGACTTCAAAGGGAAGTTGCAGGTAACCTCACCATGGCCGAGCCAACGCCTGTGTCTGAATTGTCTTAAGAGGGGAAAGGAATCAGGAAAGAGTGATATTTTTTCACCCATACATGGTCTTCACCTCCCTATGTATTTTTAAACCTCAACAAACTTTTAAGTACGGGAGATATTTTATAAATGGCATTGAGGAGAAAATGTATGAAATGCCACAACTAGATGGACTTTAATAGTTGCTGAGAATTGAAAAGTGAGCCATGGAGGGACCAGAGCAGCAGGAGAGTGGGGAGGGCGTTGATCTTGCACACGGCTGACCCAGGTTCAGTCCCCGGCATCCCATATGGTCCCCCAAGCACTGCCAGGAGTAATTCCTGAGTGCAAAGCCAAGAGCATCACCAGGTGTGGCCCACCCCCGCACCCCCTACCCCAATTTGCTTATTAGTTAATTTGGCCTCTTCAGGTTTTCTGTTTCCTCCTAATTATTGGGAGTTTGTAGGATTCCACAGATTCATCTGCCTCCAGCAAATCCAGTTTCTCCAGCTGAGTGACAAACAGTGTTCATCGTAATCACTTCTGATCCTTTGTATTTCTGGTCATGTAATGTGCTTCCCTATTTATGATCATTGATGATCATTTGTAACTTCTCCCCTTTCATCTCTCATCTGGTTTTTAGAATTTTCTCTCTTCCCCCCCCCCCCCCCTAAGTCCAGTTAAGAGTTTGTCGATCGTATTTATTCCTTCACAAACCAGCTCTTAGTGTTGTTGACCTTGATTGTTAGATCATTTGTTTCGGTTCTAATTTTTTTTTAGCTCCTTCCTCCTACTTACTTTGGGTTTCATTTGCTGTTCTCTCTCTGGTTTCTTGAGAGGTGAGAGCAGGTGATAAATTTGAGCTTTTTTTTTTTCTTATTTTCTGATGTCAGCCTATATTCCGATAAACTTCCCTCTTCAAATTGTTTTTGCAGTGTCCCATAGGTTCTGATAGCTTGTGTCTTTGTTCATTTCCAGAAATCTTTTATTTCTTTTATTTCCTCTTTCACCCAGTGGCTGTTCGGTAGTATGTTGAGGGAGAGGAGCTCTTCCTGGATGATCTCACGCGTATCTGGTATATAAAGAGAATACACAGTGATAAATAAAAAGAAACCCTTGGACTCTGGCAACAGAACTGAGGTTCTCAGAAGGGAAGGGAGGTGGTAGGATGGGTTCGAAGGGCCTTAACAACAGAGGTAGTGATGAAGTTATATATAATAAACACTGTAGCACTGTAGCACTGTCCTCCCATTGTTCATCAGTTTGCTCAAGCAGGCCCAGTAACGTCTCCATCGTGAGACTTGTTGTTACTGTGTTTGGCGTATCGAATACGTCACGGGGAGCTTGCCAGGCTTTGCCATGCGGGCGAGATACTCTCAGGAGCTTGCCAGACTCTCCAAGAGGGACGGAGGAATCGAACCCGGGTCAGCTGCGTGCAAGGCAAACGCCCTACCCACCGTGCTATTTCTCCAACCCAATATTAACACTCATTTTTAAAAAAGAAGATAGACATATAGAGCCAGAGAGCCAGCCAGAGCTTAAGGCACTTGCCTTGCACTCAGCTGGGACCCCAGTTCAATCCCTTTTGCCACGTATGGTTCCCCTGTGTCAGCCACTCCTGAGCATAGATCCAGGTATAGCCCCTGAGTACTTCCAGGTATGGCTTGATCCCCTCCTCTCCACTGCACCCCCCCCCCCCAAAAAAATGTTGTTGTTGTTGTTGTTGCTTTAAGAAACAGAAAAGATAAAAAAAAAATTACAAAATAGGAATTATGGTAGTATCTCTTCTTTATGATCACTGTTAGCTTCGAGCAGTATTACCCAATCACTGTGTCAGAGAAAGTCCTTGCTGAACGTCGTCATTCATATCCACATCGACCCCAGAAGGTGTGGCGAGTACCACAGTTTGGTTGAGACTGCTCTGTATAAATCAGTGAGTAAACCTAGAGAAAAATGCTCCAGTTCCCCGGAAGCCACAGGGGGCCTCGGGTCACACATAGGGAACGAGAGTTTGCCTTCATGGTGTTCTCAAGCCCCCAGTGAGAGATCGAGGTGGGGCTGGCAGACATTCTTAGTTTTTCTAGCAGTACAAAAAGAATTTCCAGGGGACTGGGGAAATCGCACAGCGGGTAGGGCGTTTGCCTTGCTCGCAGCCGACCCGGGTTCAATTCCCAGCATCCCATATGGTCCCCTGAGCACTGCCAGAAGTAACTCCTGAGTGCAGAGCCAGGAGTAATCCCTGTGCATCGCCGGGTGTGACCCAAAAAGAAAGAAAGGAAAAAAAAAAAAAGAATTTCCAGTATGTGCATGTTTCAATAGCCAAAAAAAAAGGAAAGAAAGAAAACAAGGTCGATACTCTCCCTCCTGGCCAGAACGGCTCTACTTGGAACCCATCACACACTTCTCCAGTTCCTGCCTTTCTCATTCACGCTTGTTTGGGTTTTCTTTGGGGGCCACCACGGCAGTGCTCAGGCTTACTCTTGGCTCTGCGCTTCGGGACCCACCCCGGCAGGCTCGGGGAACCATATGTGGTGCTGGTAGTCGAACCTCAGTCCCCCACATGCAAAGTAGTGACCCTCCTCACTATCCTGTATCTCTGGCCCTGTCATTAACCTGTAATAGAAGGGTCCCCCCTGCAGTGCAGGCTTGACCTTTGGGGATTGGGGGGGTTCGGGGATGGGGAGAGAATGAGATGTCAGGTTCAGCCCCCTCCTGACGGTGCCCTGGGGTCCGTGACGGTCTCTCCTTCTGCTCCACAGAGAACTGCCTGCAGCGGACCCCGCGGGCCTCCGTGGAGAGCGCACAGCACAACCCGCCCACCATCGAACTCTTGCACCGGTCCCGCTCGCCCGTCACCAACCACCGGCCCTCGCCCGACCCTGAGCCGCGGCCCCTGCGCTCACCCCTCGACGGCATGATCCGCCGCCTCTCCCCGCCCGAGAGGGCCCCGGGCGCCGCGAGGCTTCACCAGGAGAACAACCACCAGGAGTCCTACCCGCTGTCCGTGTCTCCCATGGAGAACAACCACTGCCCGCCGTCCTCGGAGCCCCACCCGAAGCCGTCCTCCAGCCCCCGGCAGGAGAGCACCCGCGTCATCCAGCTGATGCCCAGTCCCATCATGCACCCCCTGATCCTCAACCCCCGGCACTCGGTGGATTTTAAGCAGTCCCGCCTGTCCGAGGACGGGCTGCACCGGGAGGGGAAGGCCATCAACCTGTCCCACCGGGAGGACCTGGCCTATATGAACCACATCATGGTCTCCGTCTCGCCGCCCGAGGAGCACGCCATGCCCATCGGGAGGATAGCAGGTGAGCACCCCACTCCTGCTCCCGGGCTGCAGGGGCTGGGCTGGGCGGGGCACAGCAGCTCCGCTTCACACTTTTCCCAATTAGCTGCCCTGGGAGGCTCTGCCGGGCGGAGGCGAACTCCCTAATGGGCTAGTTAATGAGCTACTGGGATGGAGTTACTTAATGAGCCTCGGCAGTGTTAAGAAACAAATGTCCTCGGTCCAGCTTGCAAGGAGAGGGCCCCGGCAGAATCCGGGCTAAGCGAAAACATTTAAAAGAAAAAGGTTTATGAGCATGTTAATAGCCCCGGCCAGAAGTTTCCAGCAGCTAATTAATGACCAGACAGCAGCAGCAGCAGAAGCAGAAGAACCTTTGTCTCTGCAGACTGGGGTCTGTAATTCCAGGCTTGGGCCCCCAGCAGCTCTGACCTTGGCTGGGGGGTTAAAGGGAGAGAGAGAACGTAGGAGGAGGAGGTGATGCCCACTGAGAAAGTCACTCCCAACTCCTTTTTCTTTTCTGATGACAAGCCCAGTTGGCATAGCCCGGAAGAGAAATGGTGGGACCCAGGAGAGAAGCGTCCACATGTGCGGCTGCGCACCTTCCTGCAGTTTGCACCCAGAGACTCAGGGCTCGAGGCACTAACCCCTAGGCCAGGTTGGCTCTGCCTCACGCGTCTCGCCGTTCAGGGCACATTTATCAAGCACCCACAGTGCACGAGAAACCACACAGTGCCTTGCACGCACAGAGCCCTTCCTTGTGGGGGGTGGGGGGACTGTCCTCGGGAGATTGATGTGGGAAACACTGAGACGCAAGGCAGACTTCCTGTGTTACTTCCGTAAAGCTCAGGGCAACAACACGGCAGTGACATTTGATTGGGGCTTTGTGGGGCCCCCGGCCCAGAGCTGAAGAGGGTGATACTTGGTGGGGAGTGCGGGGTGGATAGGGTTAGACCTGTTCAGGTACAGGTGAGAAATACTCTTTTCTGTACAAGCTGCTCCCCCAGCACAGAGTCTAGCAGACCCCAGCAATGGAGCAGTGCTCAGCCGGGCTGACCACCCAGAGCCCATAGAACCTGACCTCCCTCTGTCTGGACGTGTGATCCCTTTTCTGCTCACATCATCTGTTCCTAAATTCTTTTTTTTTTTTTTTTAATTTTAATGAATCACTGTGAGATACAATTACAGACTGTCAAACTTGCATGATTACGTTTCGGTGATGCAAAGTACCCAACCCTCCACCAGTGCCCATTCTCCATCACCAGTGTTCCCAGTGTCCCTCCCCCACCCCCCATGCCTCCATGGCAGGCACATTCCCTCTTGATCTCTCTCTGTCCTTCTTGGTGTTATGGTTTGCAATACAGATACTAAGCAAGCCATCATGTTTGGTCCATCGTCTACTTTCAGCACGCATCTCCCATCCCGAGCAAGCCCTCCAACCGTCATTTACTTAGTGGTCCTTTCTCTTCTATCCCAGGTTCCTTTTCCCCCAGCACAATGAGATCGGCAATACTCTCCCCAAAGCATTACACAGATTCAACGCGATCCCTCTAAGGATGCCCATGACAATTCCATATGGAACAACAAGCGCCCATGAATAGTGAAAGCAATTCTGGGGGGGGGGGGGGGTGGGCAAAGATGGCTGTTCTTAAATTCTTCTCTGGCTACAAGTGCCTCTCCTAGGTTGCCTTGATTCTGTTACTAGAATCTGCATCAGGAATGTTGAGTGTAGACACTCCAGTGACAAGGAAATGGGACGTCGGTGGTTCAAGTACTCTGGGGAAAAACAGACAAACAAAAAAAAGAGAGATGATCTGAGTCTGGGATTTGGTTCAACAGGATCCCCTGGGGAGCAAGGACTGGGTGGGGCATGAGTTGAGGGAGATGGACAGGAAGCTGGTTGCTGAATGGGTGGGAAGTGCCCAGAGTTCTTTACACCCTTTATAGATTGCTAAGCATTTTAATACTCAACAATCATTACAATCAAAGAAAGTGAGAAAGCAGAGATGAGGGATAAAGAAGCAAAGAGCTTCAAACCCAAGGGCTCAGGCCGGCCACGTGAGGTCCCAGATGGTGGCAGAATCTGGGGTGGGTACCTTGCAAAGAATAGAAATGGCCTGTCACGTGCTTTCCCGGAAAGACCCTTCTTGTCTCTGCGTTTCCCTTCTTGTCTCATTTCCGGCAAGGGTTGGCGGTGAATGGGGCATGTTGCAAATTCTTTCTGGTGGTGTGTACTCGGAGGGTCATTCTCCAAGAATGACCGCCAAGGTGGCTTATTACTATTCCGCGCCTTTAATGTGGAGTGGCCATTTAGGAATGACAGCGGAAACGGAGCTCCAGAGAGTCTCCGGCGAATGGGCCTTGGGTCGCAGGGTCAGGGGGTCCTGTTGGCTGCTGGCCCCACTTTGAAATGTGTCTCTCCACCTTTCCCTTCCTGCGGGAGGTCTTCTTGGGGACCTGAGATAAGCCTGTAGGTCAAGGATGTAAGTTATTAGACTAATATCATGGCTTTTCCCTTATTTATTTAACAGAGTTTTGTTGTCATTGTTGGGGGAGGTCGTTTGTGTAGGGGGCCACAGGTGGTAATGCTCAAGGGTTAGGATCACAAGTGCTTAGGGATCACTCCTGGCCCCTATGGGATCTGGGAATTGAACCCGGGTCAACCTCATACAAGGCAGGCACCTTGCCGCTCTGCTGTCCCTCCAGTCCTGTGTTTAACAGATTCTATACATCTTAATTCTAGCGTATTAGTCTTTCTTCAGTGCTGCTGCTGTTTTTGTAATTGTGTTCCTTAGCCTCAAGTCTTTGTACGATGCGTTCTGTAAGAAACCCCACAAATGCTGTTCTACCAAGGTGCCCCCCAGGCCCCTCCAAAGCGCACATCGAAGGGGAGTCTTTGCTTTTTCTGCATTGCTCTAAGGAGTCCGAATTTCATGTGAAATAAAATAACTCCGTCCTGGGAGGGCTGTGGGAGAAATTTTTGAATTAATTGCTTCCAGATGAGAGCGCCCCCTAAAATTCTTCACTATTTAAAACTTAAGGCTATATTCATAAATGTCTTAAAAGGGGGCTGGAGCAATAGTACAGAAGGTAGGGAGTTTGCCTTGCATGTGGCAGACCCAGGTTTGATTCCCAGCATCCATATGGTCCTCTGAGCACCACCAGGAATAATTCCTGAGTGCAAAGCCAGGACTATCCCCTGTGCATCACCGGATGTGAGGGTGTGACACAAAATGCAAAAAAAAAAAAAAAAGTGTCTAAAAAATCTTCAGGTCGATATTTCAGCTCATACCACCCAGCCCAGAGTTCCCGACTGAGCAGAGGGGTTTGTTTTTCTCGCTTTGGGGAGTCTGGCTCCAGCCCCAGGTCCTGCATTCCCCGACTCCTTACTCACCTCTGCGTGCCCCTGAGCTCCCCAGGTCTGAGCCCGCTCCTCCCATTTCTTGCAGACTAAATTCACAGAGCAGTTTCCAGGCTCCAGGGAACGAAAATGCAGTGTGCAGGCAGGGGCCGGGCATTGAACTCGGGGCCCCATGGAGGCTGGGCGGCAGGTTTGAGCTCTCTCTCTCTCTAGCCCTCCTTAATGCCCTCACTGGTGGTCCCAGAGTGTGGGGCTGTCTCTCTCCCAGGCACCACCACCCCCACCCTGGGGTTGGATTCCTGGCAAGCACTTGAATCCCCCGAGACAAGTTCCAGGCCCCACCTTCAGCTTTTCCGTGGCTTGGCTTGTTGTTGGGGGAACCACATCCAGTGGTGCTTGGCGGAACCCAGCAATGCCAGGGGTCAAGCTCTGCCTCCTGCAGGCCAAGTGCACTCGGCCTCTGAGCTTGCTCTCCAGTGCAGTGTGGAAGTAAATGTAATAGAGATGGACAGGAAGCCGCAAGGGCTTAAGTGTGTGTCCCCCACAGGTGGGATCTGCGTGACTTCTGCTTGGGGACCCTGTGTTGAAGGGCCCCCACTGGGGTCTGGAGAGGAGGAAGATGCCGTGGTTCTGAGAGGAGCCACCAGCTGGTATCGTGTCTTCTGAGGGCCTTGCCGAGAGCAGGCCGAAGGTGGCTGTGTGGCAGAGCTGGCTTTGCAGCGGGCATTGATGGGCACTTCAACCAGGACGAAGGAAGGTGGGAGGCAAGTGGGTGAACCCCGGAAGAGCAGACGCTGCAGAGTAGGAACACGGGATTGTCTCATCTGGGGTAGAAACAAGAGTCCAGCCCTGGCCAGAACCAGTACAAACCCACTACATTGCATCACTTTTTTTTTTTTATTCCACCTTTACTTTCCAGTCATTCTGAAATGGAAAGGCCCTCGTACCATGAGGAAAACACAAGGCAAAGATTTTGACTGTTGATTTTGGGATTTTCTACACCGTGAAATGACTAAAATGGTCGAGAAATTTCTGTAGGTCATTGGCAGTTTTTAGTACAAACTGCAGATATATGGTGCATAGGAAAGATAGCTTCCTTTTTTGTTTGGGGGGTCACTCTTGGCAGTGCTCTAGGCTTACTCCTGGCTCTGTGCTCAGGGCTGACTCCTGCCTCTGTGCTTAGAGCTTGCTCCTGCCTCTGTGCTCAGGGATTGCTCCTGGCTCTGTGTTCAGGGGACCAGGTCAGTCATGAGCAGGGTCAGCACCTTAATCACTGTACCATCTCCCCAGCCTCCTTTGTAAAGGGGGCACTTACTTGTCAAAGAACTATTTTGGAGTTTCACCAGTTGAAACAATGGGGGCCTTAGGGCTGGAGTGATAGATAGCACAGAGGGTAGGGAGTTTGCCTTGCACGCGGCCGACCTGGGTTCGATTCCCAGCATCCCTTATGGTCCCCTGAGCACCATCAGGAGTAATTCCTGAGTGCAAAGCCAGGAGTAACCCCTGAGCATCGCCAAATGTGACCCAAAAAAGCAAAAAAAAAAAAAAGAATGAGGCCTTATAGGGAGAACTGAACCTGGGTCAGCACAGGACCAGGGTTTATTTCACACTGGCTGGCAGTGGGGATGAGCAGGTGACAGCCAGCAAGCCTTGTCCCCCTGTGC